AGGTGTTTAGGTTGAAAATTGATGAACATTGCTCACAGCCAAGGTACAAGGCAAGATTGGTTGTGAAAGGCTTCAGTCAGAAGAAGGGTATTGATTTTTGAAGAAATCTTTTCACCAGTGGTCAAGATGTCTTCAATACGAGTTGTGTTTGGTTTAGGTACTAGTTTGAATTTTGAAGTTGAACAACTTGATGTGAAAACTATCTTTCTCCATGGTGATTTAGATGAGGAAATCTACATGGAGTAGCCTGAAGGGTTTGAAGCTAAAAGGCAAAGAGCAGCTAGTTTGTAAGTTGAAAAGGAGCTTATATGGGTTAAAGCAAGCTCCAAGATAATGGTATAAGATGTTTGATTCTTTCATGATGGATCATGGTTATGACAGGACCACTTCTGATCATTGTGTATTTATGAAAAGGTTTTCAGATGGAAACTTTATTATTCTCTTGTTGTATGTGGATGATATGTTGATTATTGGCCATAATGTTAAGAAGATTCAGATGTTGAAGGAAGAGTGGAGCAAGTTTTTTGCAATGAAAGACTTAGGACCGGTAAAACAGATTCTTGGTTTGAAGATCACACGCGACAAGAAGAAGGGGAAACTTTGGCTATCTCAAGAGAGATATGTTCAAAAGGTACATGAGATATTCAACATGAGCAACTCCAAACCTGTTTGTTCTCCACTTGCAAGCCACTTTAAACTAAGTTCTAAACAGTGTCCTTCAAGTGATGAAGAAAGAGATGAGATGACAAAGGTTCCTTGTGCATCTGCAGTTGGTAGCTTGATGTATGTCATGGTTTGCACAAGACCGGATATAGCTCATGTAGTTGGTATGGTTAGTCGGTTGCTCTTCAATCCTGATAAAGAATGCTAGTCGGCAGTGAAATGGATACTCGGGTATCTCATAGGTACTTTTAGTTTCAGCCTATGCTTTGGTAATGATAAACCTGTGTTGGATGGATACACAAATGCATATATGGCTGGTGATGTTGATTTTAGAATGTCCACATCAGGATACTTGATGAAGTTTGCAGGGGGAGCAGTCTCATGGCAATCAAGGTTGCAAAAATGTGTTGCATTATCCACTACAGAGGCCGAATATATTGCTCTTACTGAAGGGGGCAAAGAGTTGTTATGGATGAAGAAGTTTTTGCATGAACTTGGCCTAGTTCAAGAGAATTTTGTGTTGCACTGTGACAGTCAAAATGCAATCCATCTTAGTAAGCATCCTACTTTTCACTCTCGATCAAAGCACATTAAGGTTATATATCAATGGATTTGAGATGATATAGAGATGAAGTCATTCATTATTGAGAAGATCTATACTGATGACAACATGTCAGACATGATGACCAAACCTCTACCAAGAGAGAAGTTTGAGTTCTGCAGAAGGAAAGCAGGCATGTCGGAGCCTCCTAAATTAAAGCTTACATATTGATCACCGGTATGGCGAATTCCTCACATGGTGTGTGAGGGGGAGATTTGTTGTATATGGTCCCACACCATGTAATAGTGGGACCACCACATTAATTTCAAAAAACAGCATGGTTGTCTCTTGGTATTCAAATTAATGTGGTTCAGGTATTGTAGCGGTAGGATTGAAAATAGAAGAGAGGAGAAGAAAACCAAGAGAGAAAAAGAGAAAAAGAGGCAGCAAAGTAGCCTGTGTTCTTCCTTTTATTTCCAGCTCGTTCACCGTTGGATCGGGCTGAGATTTTGACAGCAGCTTCTAGACACGTAACTCTTCATTCTGAACGGTCAAATTGAAGATTGGTGGTGTGTAAACTGACCGTTTTGACAGAAAACGGGGTTGTCAGTATGGTGAGTTTTTCTCAAATAGTTCTCCTTTAATCTTGTTGTAATTGTATCCCTTAGTTGAATCTAAGGAAGAATGATTGTGAACCAATTATTTGTTGATAGCGGAAGTTTTTAAGTGGACTACGGTCCCGTGATTTTTCTCGCATCGGGTTTTCCACGTTAAAATATTGGTTTTAATTTTGTGATTATTTACATTATATTTGATCATTATTTGATTTTGTTTTACTGCACAAAAAGAAAAAGAATTGGAACTTGTGAATTATATTTCACTAAATTGATTCGAGTAAATTGGAGTCCAGTTGTTTCTAGTTTTCTCAATAATTGATAGCAAGAAAATAATTGATAGCAAGAAATTGAAAGAAGGGAAAGTAATTAATATAAACACTACACCAGCCATTTTCTTCGCCTTAATTAGCAAATTGTCGGAGGATATTACTTTAATTATATATGCAGGATGCACACAGAAATTGACCAGCCTGTTGTTTTCTGGTGGTTGCTAGTTTCTATGAATTATAGAAAGGCTCGTTTGCCAACCCGAGTCCATGGAACCAAGAGAGTAGATCATTTGTATCTCAAAATGGCTGTGGCCCCCCATTGCTTCGAGAAAGATGTTAATCAGGTACGTGCACTCTCCATTCTCTGTTCCCTGCTGCAAAATTTACTCGCAATTTGAAATGCGTAATAACAGCCAAGTAAAAATTTGCAGAAGAAAGCAATGTTTAATTAATTTCTTAATGTAACCATTTGAATCCTCTAGGTGCTATCTGAAGGAAATTAATTCATGTGTGAAGAAGGTGATATTGAATAGACCACAGAAACTAAACAGCCTCGGCCATCACATGGTTTATATGTGCTTCTGACAACTCTCTTCTTTCTTTAATTTCGAGCTACCTTCTTGACTGGGTTTTGCTGTGCTTGCAGTATGAATTGGTAGAGCTCAAGATCTCATACTCAATAATAAAAGAAGAGATATATTTACGTGGGCTAATGCGAACGCTACAAAACACACCTGGCACGAGTCTTGGTGATGGACTCCTCTATTTCGTTCTGGGCATACAAGCTATGTGTGCCTGAGTGTGTGTGTGTGTGTGTGTGTGTGTGTGACCTTGCAAGCAAGGGACAAATAAATGGACTCAAGCTAGACTTTGACAATGAGGCAAAGCATTAAAGTCGTTAGGGCGTGCTGAGAAGACATATAGACGAGGAAAAAGAGACATCACGGTGAGTGGATGATCTTGGAGTAGTTGGGAAGATACGGCATTTAATTTATTTGACAGAAGACGAAAGGACACTCTACTTGTAGCTTTGGTTGGGTAGATGCGGCATTCAATTTGTTTTACTACGTTATGCAGAAGACAAAGGGACAGTCTACTTGTAGCTTGGTTGGGTAGATACGGCATTTAGTTTGTTTGACATTCTATATATAATAATCTACTTGTAGCTTGATTACACTTATATATAATAATTATTATAATTATATTATATTATATATATATATATATATATATTTTCGTTTTTATTTTTTTCGTTTTTATTTATTATTATTATTTTGTTTTTTATGTTTTTATGGGTTTTTTTTTGCTTTTTTCTTTGTGTTTTTTTCTTTTAATGAATTTTTTTTGTTTAATTTAGTTTGTTAAGGATAAATTTTTTTATTTAGTTATCAGACTTTCATGATACAGATCCCGAGTTTGACAGGTTAACCTGGTTTTACGAGTCCTGAAATTTTATTTTTTTATTTTTTTAATTAATTTTTCTCATTTAGTTTTCTTTGTTAATGTTAAATTTCTTTATATTTAATTATTAAACTTTCATAACATGTATCTCGAGTTTAACAGGTTAACCCAGTTAATTATAGGTTAACCCGTCAATTTTTTTTTTCTATTTAGTTATCAAACTTTCATAACGCGAATCTAAAGTTTGACGGGTTAACCTGATTTGAAGGGTTAACCCAATTAATTCAGTTTTTTTTCTTCATTAGTTTTTTCTTCCCGTTGATTTTTTTTCTTTGTTTTTTTTTCTAATTAATACATTTAATTATCACACTTTTATGACACAATCTTACAGCTAGACCCACATCCAAGGCTTTTAGGTTCAGTGTTGCAACCAGATTCAGTTAAACTTGAGTTATGTAAGTTTAATATTATTATAAATACTATAAATATTACTCTTGGGTCAAGTGTTGCAGCTAAACCAAAAGTTATTGGGTATATCTTTGCAAAAAGACATAACACTCTTAGATCTTAATCTTTTTTTATATTTTTTATGCAAAAAAAAAAATAACTCATGGCATATGCCTTTGTTTTCTTTTCTTTTCTTTTTTAAGTCTTTTACTGTGGACTGCACAGTGCGATCCACAGTGAAAAAGTTGATGCTTTTAGTTTCTTTTCTTTTTTTTTTGTCTTTTTTCTTCTTTTGTAATTATTCTTTTAATTTAGTTTCTTAATAAAAAAAATTTTATGTTTAATTATTACACTTTCATGACACGAATCCTAGGTTTGACGGGTGAACATGGTTTGACGGGTTAACCCAGTTGATTTAGATTGTTTTTCTTTTTTCTCATTAGTTTTATTCTTCCGATTTTATCTTTTAATATTGTATGCAGTCCAAGGTGAAAAGGTTGATACCTTTATTTATTTTTTTGCTTTTTTTATGTCTTTCACTGTGAATTGCATAATTTAGTCCACGGTGAAAAGATTGATGTTTTTTTAATTAATTTTTTTATTTAGTTTGTTGATATTAATTTTTTTTCTATTTAGTTATCAAACTTTGATGACATGGATCTCAGGTTTGACAGGTTAATCCAGTAAATTCATATTTTTTCCTTTTTCTTCATTAGCTTTTTTTTTAATGTTGGTTTTTTTTCTTTGTTTTTTTTTAATTAATCTATTTAAATATCATATTTTTATAACATAACCTTACAGTCAGACTCATATAAAAAACTGTTAGGTTTGGTATTGCAGTTAGACCCACTTAAACTAGAGTCTTTCAAATTTAATGTTATTATAAATATTACTCTTGGGTCAGTTGTTGCAGTTTTAATGTTATTATAAATATTACTCTTGAGTCAGTTATTGCAATCAAATTTAAGACTCTTGAATATAGCTTTGCAAAAAAAAAATTAATACTTTTAAATTTTAACTTTTTTTAATATTTTTTATCTAAAAAAATTAACTTTCGACGTCACACAGGTCATGTAACTAGTATCAATTAATAACCTGTTCCAGAAAACATAGATCTCCATCTAAAAATCTTTATGATACGCTATTGAACTTTCGGCTTCGGATAGAAAATTTAGTAGTCCACTGTCCCAGTTGTGTCATGATATGGAAATAAAAGAAATTATACTTGCAACGTCAAAAACTTGAACAGTGAAGTAGGTTTTATTTTTAATTTTCTCTTTTTTTTATATTGATTTTTTTTTCTCAAATACATCTTCAGTTTCTTTTACTATATTTAGATTGCTTTTTAAGTCCGTGCAGGTATAGGTCATGTGAAGGTAAATACAACGTGATTAATTATAAATTTTAGTTTGGTAAAAAATTAACTCTAAAGATTTTTTATTTTTTTATTTTTTTATTAATCATTTAAATTATTTTTAAGTCAGTAAATCAACTACCTCACATCATAAATCTCACATATTTAATTTTAAACCTATATTAGATAAGAATACTAGATAAGAAGTGAGGTTAAAAAAGTTTTTTTTTTTTAATTTTATCCTAACATCATCCAACTTTTTTTTAGACCAATAAATAAGATTGATTAGATCACATCACAATAACTATCACAATAACTCTCACACTCTCACGTAGTTTAATTTAAAATTTAGACCAAATAAAAAGTTAGGAGATTTCAAAATTAATCTTTTTAATTGATTTTAATAAAAATGTTAAATAGTTATCTGCTATTAAAATATTTTTTGCTAAATCTAAAACAAATAAATAAAATGATCCGACCCAAAGTAATGCAAACATGTAAACAAGTAATTTGGAGAGAAAATCACTCTATATTATCACAATCTTCTTATTAATTAAGGAAAGTAATTCTTTCAGTTAAAATAAAACTGGGAAGATGTCTTTTTTTCCTATGTTAATAAAAGCACACAACTGCCAAAAAAAAAAAAGAAGGCAGAGAGAAAACCTTACATGCCTACGCCAACAGACGACCCCGGTCGTTTAATTGACATTGAAGAGTTCTTGAACGATGGAAAATTGGTTTGATTCAAAAAAATCAAAACAGCTGCTGATTATTGGTTTTTTAATACGTAAGAGAACCTTATAACATTTCTAATGAATTTTGTATAAGAACTTGTAAGTCAATTAAACTCCAAATTTCTGCTATTATCTCTATGTTCTTCTAGGTATGCTTTGGAGGCATTCAGAATGGTATTATCAATTAATAATTAATTTATTTTGTTGACAGATCTCTCAAATGACCAAGGAGTTGAATGCCTACGAGGTTGATCCTAAAGTCAAAGTTGTGACATTGTAGGTAAGAACTGATTGGAAGATTTGCCAGAGTTTTAATCATATATTAGAACAGGTGATTGGACATTAAAAATGGTTCAACTCTGAGTGAGTCGTTCATCTGTCATTGCCAATGCCATTATTATCCAACTAATATGAGCATTATCTTCAACTCCGTCTTGCAGGTAATGAAAAGGCTGAAAAAATGGGATGATCAATTAGCGACTAAAATCATCTGTTGCATATAAAACTAAAATCTGTTGCCGGCTAAAAAATCACATATACACATTTCATTGTTAAAACAGCAATTGATTTGTTCCGTTGCTAAAATCCAATACTCATAGCACTGTTTTTTATAGCGTGTAGGAGCCAGGAGGTGATGTTATGACGACATATATTATAGTTGCAGGTGAAAATTATCTTCAAGGAAGTTTTGAAGTGAAGGGAGAATTAATGTTTGATGCCATTTATTAACGTTTATGATCTTCTTGGATGAAGCAGGGCATTGGAGTTATGCTGCAAATTCTTACAAGAAACAAATCATGCTGGACTTTGTAGCTGCTGCAAATGGAAAGCCTGCGGCTTGTAAACAAGTTATTTGGCACCATCAATGATATCATAGGAATATAATTCCTCACTCTTGGTAATTTTTTTATTCTAAGCAATTGGTCCTTGAAGCTTGCACTTATTGATGGAATCGTGATGGGTGTTGGTGCTGGGCTATCCATGCATGGAAGGCTCAGATTGCCACTAAAAACACTGTAGCTTCTGCTACAAATCTTGATTCCTTAACTAGTGTCATATTTGAATCAACTCTTTTGATTCATGAACTTGCATATATCAAAAATTCCGTTGATAATTTTGTTGGTTTTCGCTGATTTTCTGGTATTGAATAAGCCTAAAAGTTTCCCTCAAATCGGTATGATGGTGGATTTTAATCAAGTCATTAGTTTCTAATCTCATAACTAAGTTAAAATTTATAAATTTTGTGCATGGTGATTAGGTTAGAGAGAGCTGAACGCAAGGACTTGATCAATGCCCTGTCCGTGAGTATAACATTTTTTGCCACGTTAAGAGAAGAACAGTGGGCAATGATTTTTACGAGGTGGTATAAATTATGATAAGAACACAAACGATTCCATCAAATGTAATTTCTCATTTTCTTCATTGCAATTAGTGACTATCAGTCTGTAATTAATTATATGCTTTCCTGCAGGGAATGAGGGCCATGTTACAAAGAAAAAAAAAAAAGGATTTTGTTATCATGTCTGGTTATGCAAAAAAAAAAAAAAAAAGGATTTTGTTATGATGTCTGGTTATACATGACATAGGTCACATATTATCATGTTTTGAACAGCGGGGCCTGCAAAATTGGAGCTGGTCAGTGATGAAATGGTGAACAGATGTTTTTCAAGAGTTGAAGACTTCTGGGAATCCCTTCAACTTTCTGTCAGGTTTAGCTCCTGATGCATGCGGAAGTTAATAACACAGCAATATCATACAAAATACAAGAATTTTAATTAGTAAGAAGAATTGCAGATATAAATTTAAAATTTAAAATTTTATTATCTAAAATTAAAATATATGGTGTTTGCCTCTTCAAAATGTTTACAGGATCTTGGCCAGAAAAACCTGCCTTTACTAGAAAACAACATAAAATCCACAAGATATTAAGAAAATTAAAACAAAATTCAAAATAAAAATAATAAATCTAAAAAATTCTAGGAAAATAATAAAATTATCCCAAACAACAACTTTTACAGGCCTAGTTCTAAAAAATCCAACAGTTCGATAAACAATGAAATGGCTTCTCAAAAGGCAAAATGTTTGTAGAATTTAGTAGAAAAATTTAAATTCGGCCCAACAATCAAAATTTTCTTATTTTAGTTTTAAAAGCTAATATAGTCCAACACAACTAGATCTTTTCTCTAAACATGTTTAACTGAGATTATTGAGATGGCTCGGCTGCATCAGCTTGCTTGACAATAAACTTTGAATTTATATATGATAATAAAAAATATATTAGCTTACGTATTTGTATTTTCAGGAAAAGGGAAAAAATACCTCCTTGTGTTGGCCTGGAAAATTAAAGAAAAGATTAAAGATAGATATTTGACCTCGAGGCCTTGACTTCTCAAGCTAATATCATGTTTACAGTACTATGTGTATGTTGGAATTTCTCTGTTCGTCTTTTTGAAAAGAGTCATAGTAAAATCTCCCATCTTCTTGTGTCCCATATAGTAATGGGAAATGAGATTCTCTCTGGACCTTCTTTCTCTTGATTAATGGAGTGAGTTGAGTTGTTTTTTAAATTTCAACTCGGTCATCATGATAAAGGCATATTCATCCAAATATTTGTAATGAAAATAATAATAATAATAATGCTACTTTAATTGGTTTGATTTTAATTTGAGGATTTTAGAGGGTTGTATTTCTTTTCCATATAAAGATAAGATTTATGAATTATTTTTACGATGAATCTCATGTTTTTGCGAGATTGAGAAATATAGTATACCTAACTAATTCTCTAAAAAATTTTATTAAAAAACTAGCATTGAATGCCAGGTAAAATTCAAGTAAATTAATTAATTTTAGTAGTTGCGCTTTTCATTATCTAAGACTTGGTAATTGGATAGTAGATTTAGATCTAAAAGATTTTTTTTAAGTTGTTCAATTAAAAAGTCAACTCATGAAAATATCAACTCTTATTCCTGTAAAATCGCATATCTAAAAATTAAATAATAAGTGATTTAGTTTCACCCTTCGCCTCAAAAGTTAATTATTTTTTATGTAAAAAATAATATTTAAATTTTAAAATAGAATAAAAAAATAAAAAAAAGTAATCATTACAAAGCTATAATTAATAATATTAATTAGAATTAAGCCAACCAGAAATATTTTATAAAATTCGAGACACGAATCATATAATTAAAATAAATTAATAAAAAATAAAAAGAATCATAAGATTCTTTTTTCTAAAAAATATATATGTTAATTTTTCAAACTTATAACTCGAAGCTAATCTAAAAAAACTTTTCAAATTTATGACCCGAAGCTAATCTAAAAAAACTAGAAAGTTAAATTCTTAATCAATTATATATTAAAGGATGAAATTGAAAAAAAAAATTAATTATGTAAAAGGACTTTAAAAAAATCAATTAAAAGGATAAGGATTAAAATAAAAATAAAAAAATAAATTTTATATTTATTTGAAGGGTTAAATTAAAAAAATAATTTAGTAAAAGGATAAAAAAAATTAAAAAATGAGACTCAAAATTGACATGAAAAATAAAAATAATGTTGTAATTAAAGAGTGAAATTGAAAAAAATAATAACTTTTATATGAAATTAAAAAAAATTATAAAATAGTCAAGAAAAAAATATCAAAATAATGAGGCAACCATCAATTTCAATCAAAGGTTAAATTAAAAACCAATAAAATTTTTATAAAAACACAAACTCAAAATATTAAAAATTCAAAGAATAAGAACCAAATGGGAGAATAAATTATTTTGTAAATTGGGATTCAAAAATGAAATTGAAGAAAAAAACTTCTATCAAAGAGCTAAGATTAAAAATAAAAAAAATCAAAATAACATTAACTGAAAATGAAATATCAATAACTAAAATGGTCAAATTGTAATTTCAAAAAGAAAAGAAAGATAAGGAAAAAAAACTCACTTATGAAAAATTAGACAACATCATCAGAACAAATATCATATCTATAAAAACAAGATAAAAAAACATTTTTTAATGCAATAATACATTGTAAGTGTTATGCTAAGCATGTATATCTTTTTTGATAATTTTATTTATTTAGCTAGAAATAAAAAGTTTTTCTAAATGGACTTTCTAATTACAAAGAAATATTATTTTGAAAAACAAAGAATACCTCTTGATCTCATGTTTAATTTTTTTTATTTGACTATGTATTTTAATTGTTTATTATTTTTTATATTTATTTAAATACTAAATTACCCCTTATCTTAAATTGTAATAACAAAAAAAATCATTGTAAAATTAAAAAAATACCTCTGAAATCATGTTTAAATTTTTTTTCCAAAATATTATAATCAATTTACTATGCAATCAAAATTAAAAAAAATAATTATTTATCCATAGTCAATTTAAAAATAATAAATAAATCATATAAAAAGATTTTAATGCACTTGAAAATTAGTGCAAACTTTTTTTTGGATGAAATAGTAAAATTAAAATTACATTATTTTAATAATCACTGTTGATATAACTGTAACTAAAATAATTTTTCGAGAGTAATTAAATTTTGTTAATAAGGTTTTTTTAATCAATTTTATGATTTCAAGCTTATAACAATGATGGTTTTCAATCATTAGATTTGCTATTGGCATACCCATTTGGATGTGTACGTGTGTCTATATATATATATATAATTAATTTTCTTTCTTTAAATACAAAAATTAGATAAATATAACTAAAACTTCGACCTAAAAAGTTATTATTTTATGTGCAATTCCAATATTATGAATAGAAAATCATTCAAAATATAAATATTAAAAAATATCAAATACTTTATTCACATCAAAGTATATATCGTTATTTTATTTTTGGGAATAAGGAAACCACATTAAATATTATCCATGCATGAAAACTAATCACAATAATAATAATAGTAATAATTCACGTAGAACACCGACTCGTCGCCTACTCTAAAAGAAATATCTCCCAGACGACATGCTACTAAAAAACAATTCTCCTTTTGTTCTTCTTTTTTTTTTTCTTATCAACGACACAGATCACTCTCTCCCACGCACACAGAGAGAAAAAATACGTAAACCCTAATTGAATCCCAAATTTCTTCAATTAAACTCTAAGTGGATCCTAAATTATTCAATCAACGATCAATATGGACTCATCGGCCGCAACAACGCTCAGTTCAGAGCAAACAGAAGCAAACGCCATTAACAGGCGAGCAGAAACGGGAACGGAAGCACTGACAGAGGCAGGACAGCAACAAGGGCAGTCACAATCACAGGAAAAGTGGCCGGGATGGCCAGGAGACAATGTGTTTAGGTTAATAGTGCCGGTATCGAAAGTAGGGAGCATAATTGGACGGAAAGGAGAGTTGGTGAAGAAAATGTGTGATGAGACACGTGCTCGGATTCGTATTCTTGAAGGTCCTCTTGGTATTACTGATAGAATTGTAAGTTAAAGCTTGTTTTTTTAGTGTTAAAGTTTGTGTCTTCTGTGTTTTGTTAATATCTTTGTTGAAGTTGGGGGTTTGGATGTTAAAGTTTGTACCTTTTGTGGGATTTTGTGTGAAAGAAGGGATTTTTAATTGATTTTTGGGAACTGAGAAGAATTTGGAGTGTTTTGAGGCACAGGTTGTTGAGTTGAGTGTTTCTGTTGGTCGATTTTCAGTTTTGATTGCGGCTTATTAAAATAAGAAGGATGGATCTTGGTGTTGTTTTTTGTTATTTTTTTCTGTTAAATAGGAGTATCTGTTTTATTGTCTGGTATTATAATACAATATCATGCAATGGGAAATCTGTTATGAATTGTTAGATACATATTCCATGTTCACGAGCTTGAATGAGCTGACCTTAGCCTTAATTATATATATATATATATATTTATTTATTTTTTTTGTTGATTCTAAAACACCCTGAAGGGAGGCTTTGCTAATTCTACTGTGAATGAATGTAAACAAGAATTGAAAATCTCGTAGCTTTAATGTTAGAAGGAAACCATAAGAGTAGATGAATTAACTTGTAGAAGGACTCAAGGTTTAGAGTATTGTAGTCAGATTTTTTTAATTTATTGTGTTGAATTTGACATGAAGTTGATCACTTCTGGTGGTGGCTTTTGAGTTTTGAAAAAAAAAAGGGACTGGTTTATATTATATTAACAAAAGTTGAGGTTGGTGTTATTTTGAGTGATTTCTTCAATGTAAATGAGTGGGTGTGAAGAAACAAAATCATGAAATGGAAAAGTTGATATGAATCATTAAAGACATGGCTCATGTTCATGAGCTTGGATGAACACCATTTGAAAGTTCAATTTAACCCAAATAAGAACTCCTTCATGGGTTTTGTTTGCAAGCTGTAGGAAGCTGAACTTAGTCCTAATTGTGTTTACTTGTTGAATGTAAAGGCCCTAGGAGAGACTTGGGCTGATTCTACTACTGTTGCTGAATGGAAGTAAGATGGAAAAGCTCTGGTCTATTTGTAAATAGCCATATTGAATTGAACAGTTTGAATTATTTGTGTTATGATTTTCTTTGTATTGAGTCACAGTTTTACTCCTTCCTGGAACTGTTATGATTAATGTAGATGTTTCTTTTCAGGTTCTGATTTCTGGTAAAGAAGAGCCTGAAGCTCCACTATCTCCTGCAATGGATGCAGTATTGAGAGTGTTCAGGCGTGTGAGCGGTCTATCTCCTGGTGAGGGTGACAACACAGGTTCAGCTGCCGCTGCTGGCTCTGCATTTTGTTCCATAAGGTTACTGGTTGCATCTGCACAGGCAATTAACTTAATTGGGAAGCAAGGATCCATAATCAAATCAATACAGGAAAACACTGGTGTAGTCGTGCGTGTTATGGCAGAAGGTATGCTTTAAACAATCATTTTCCTCTTTATTTAAGCAATTGGATTTGACCAAGTTGTGTTTTGTTGGAAAAAAACATTGAGCAGAAAGTATAGAGGTAGTGGCGTGCTGTGCTATTTCTATTTCATGTTACATATTTACAGTTCTATTTCAAACTTTGTGTTCTTTTCCTGTATGTGGTTCCTCAATGTGTGTTACTAACTTTAAGAAAGCTTTTGTAACACAACATTTTTTATAGATGCAAATTCTAAGCAACTGAAGACCAGTTTTCACTAAAAGATTGTAACATGTTATTATTTTGGTTCTCTGGACTCGATTTTCCAAGGCCCTTTGCTAGGATGGACTGGGATTTGATGATGTTTACTTAAGGACTGCTATACTGATAACTCCTCTAGGTGTCACTATTTATCTGATTTTTTCTCCTTTTTTCAATTGGTGCAAGCTCTGATGCTCTTTTTTTCCTCGTAGATGATATACCCTCATATGCTACTTCAGATGAGAGAATTGTGGAAATACATGGTGAAGCTATGAAGGTTTTTAAAGCATTAGAAGCTGTAATAGGACAGCTAAGGAAGTTCTTGGTTGATCATAGTGTCATTCCTATATTTGAGAAAACTGTAAGTCCACCAATTTAAAGTTGCTGGATTTTGACTATGAGAATCTTGAAGTAACCCAAGTTCTTTTGCAGTACAATGCAACAATTTCACTGGAACGCCCTGCAGATGCCCGCGCTGATAATGCTCAGCCCTCGCTGCATTCTGCTCCTGCATTTTCAAGTGGGATTATTTCTGATTATTCCCTATCTTTGAAGCGGGATCCATCAATATATGAACATGAAACACATTTTGAACACAAAATCTCACAACCTGGATTCTCCCTTTATGGAGATCCTGGACTTGGAGGGTTACGTTCAACTGGACTTGGTCGTGCTACTGCTCCTATAGTAACTCAGGTTGGTTTAATTATCTATTTGTTCTTATATTATAGTCAAGTATGATTTTGGCTGATTGGCTATAGTTCTTTGTGACGTGCATGCTCATGACAAAAAATCTTGTTCTATCTTTAGCATTTCTGGTTCCTTCACTTAAACTTTTGCAGTTAGGAAAATGACTCCCAAATTCCATGTCTCTTCTGCCATGACATCTTATAATGTGATGTTCTTATCTCCTATTTCTGTTTTGGCACCATGCCTAAGACTGGAAAACCCTGTTATTTTCCTATGCTTTGGCAGCATGCATAGGGCTGATTGATTATGGTTCTTCCTGACATGCATGCTCATGTCAAAAAGGCTTATCATCTAAATTAGAACGTTTCTGGTTCCTAAAGATTTGCTAAATGATTCTCAAATTCCATGCCTGTTATGCCTAAGGCTTACCACCACTTTGAAGTTATGTTTTTTTCTCTAACTATGCTCTAGCAGGATGCCTAAGGCTGAATTTAATTGCCTAGATGGGGGATACTGTGTGGCTTAACAGTTCTGCTGTCTTCATTTTTTTCTTGGAACAATCTTTAGAGCAAGCATGCTGATCAATCAAAATATCATTTGTTATTTCATGTCTACATGTTACTTGGGATAGATTGAGAAAACTGTTACTATCTTGTTCAGGTGACACAGACAATGCAAGTACCTCTGTCATATGCTGAGGATATCATTGGTGTTGCTGGATCCAATATTGCCTATATTCGTCGTACCAGTGGGGCAATCCTTTCAATACAAGAGAGCAGAGGTTTGCCTGATGAGATCACCGTGGAAATTAAGGGTACCAGTTCTCAGGTTCAGATGGCGCAACAGCTTATACAGGTAGGTGTCTTTAATAGCCCTTAGCTTATACAGGTAGGTGTCTTTAATAGCAAGTTAGTTTTGCCACGTACCAACAATTTTCCTCAACACCCCCCACCACATGCTCACACGTATTCATTCACTCTTCTTACTTGATTATCTGTCTGCATATACATTTGGACGTGGAATTTGCTCATTTCCACATTTTGGGTCTAATTTCCACATTTTTCCCAGCATAAAACTTTGATATTCATACACCATTGACATTCCATTCATGTTAAAATCATAGCAATTTGGTGATTTTAGCACTTGACAGGAAGTATTAATTGATTAACTTTTGTAGTCTCCCTATGACATGCAGCTAATGTCTTGAATCTTGTTTGCAGGAGTTCATTAGTAATCACAAGGAACCAACGCCAAATATGTATGGGAAGATAGATGTAGGATTGAATTCATATTCACAAATTGCAGAAAGTGGCTACCCTTCATCCTCATTTACATCACATCTAGGAGGGTATGGATCCTCAAGTATAGGAGGGTATGGATCTCCCGGTGCAGGAGGTTACAACAGTTATAGATTTTGAATGTGTGCACAAGATACATTCGTTGGATACTTGTTTGAGCAACATAGTTATTTGAAAACTTGAGCTCTCTATTCACTATTCAGTCATAGCTATTTCATCTTATAATAAGAAAAAATGAAATGGATCTATTTTCTTGTTCATGTTTATGCAAAGCTTGAATGATTCCTGAACTGTTTTCACAGACAATTCTTGACATCAGATAAATGCGAAGAGGTTGTTTGGTTAATTGACAAGATCATTGAGTTGTCAGGGTATTTGGTGTAGTGAATTTGACTAAAAATCCTGATGGAAAGGTTCTTAACCTCTGAAGATCTTAAACACTGGGTTAATTCTCGTTTGAAATGAAATTTAAATCCACAAAGAACCTGAAGAACAATGGTATAATAATGATCATGCTTTGAAACACAATAAATTAAAGTAGGTCAAAATGTATAACAATCATGATAGATTGATATACAGAAGCTCAAATTTTTTGTTTCCTTGTAAATACCTTGAAGAATCACAGACCGACAAAAAGATGGTTTCAAGAATGAATTGTGATATTGGGTATTATTGGGTAGACAGCAAATGACAACCTGATGGTTTCAAGAATGAATTGTGATATTGGCTAGACAGCAAATGACAACCAAAGGGACATGACTTGAGCAATTAGCATAGGCTACAAGTGACTGGAAGCAGTAAAGTCCTGCTGGGGACTTGCTGACAGAGCAAAGTAATGGCGAAGCTGACACCAGAAAAGCTAGCCCCCTTGGTTTGGGTTGATTTCCTCGTTCTTTTTCTTTATCATGATACAGCAGAGGGAAAAAAAGAAAAGAGAATGATGTTACACAGATAACATTTTAGAAATAAAGTGTTCATCTTATTACTATTTTGATTATACAATCCATGTGTAAAACAATCGCACATATCTTCCAAGTCAGATTTCAGCCAGGCAAAACTCTTTTGGGAAACATGTGTTCGTATAACTGCAAAATAAAAGTGAGGCCGCAAACAGCTAACGAGAACAGCTAAAAACCTAAAAAAACCCTACAAAATTGGCTGTCATGACTCATGACTCATCCCCATTAACGATCGAGCATCAGCAGCCTAAGAGTTCCAATATGCATCAAAGAGAGAGTGCAATACGTCTATAGACTGCTTGAAAAGTCTGTCCCCCATTCCTAGCAACCTTTTTCCCTTCTTCAGTTGCTGTACACAAGAGTTTCACGGCTGGATCTGCTTGAAGTCCCTCCTCTGTGAGGGCTTCAAACATGGGGTGATTATCCAAACAAGTCTTCATCCACTCTCCAAGTTCTTCCACATCTGTAATCGTATAGATAATTCCACCAACCTCAAGAACATATGCATACTCATCAAGCAAATGTGGACTGATCACTCGTCTACGATGATTCTTCTCTTTGAAATGAGGATCAGGAAACAGGAAAAACATTTTTGTAAGCTGCCCCTTCTCAAAGTAATTGGGAATGTACTTCATCGAATTGGTGCGAACTACGGAGACATTTTGATATTGACCAGGATTTGTTGTCCTCAATGCTAAAATCCTTTCCTTAACATACTCTGCAACCTTATCCCTAAGCTCCATCCCAATCATCAAGGTCTCTGGAAAAAGTGTTGAAAGACTAACAAGAAGCCCCCCAAAACCACAACCAATATCAGCAAACTGAACCTTTTTTATACAGCCAACTTCACAAGACAAGGAAAAGAATTGAGGGTAATGAAGCGAGAAGTCAACATGACTAGGAGAAATCGGAACAGGGAAATGCGAATCACTCAATGGATTGCTATGTGCTCTTGCTCGATAAAAACGCTTCCTAGGCAAGCCAGTTGACTTACTGATTGTAGGTTTTGCTTCGTTTTCTAACATTTCTGTCTATCTCCACCTACTGCATAAACAATAACAAACAGAATTCTCAACCACAAATTAAAGAAGCTTGAATTTAATCCACTGTCAAAATGTCCATCGTCATAGTAAAGCATTATCATTCCTTTGATGAATAAAAACCTAAAAGGAGGTGCCAATCATTAAAAAGCTCACAAATTCCCCAAAATATTAAAACTAAGAACCAAATTAAATCTCAATATCTTACTAATCATAATGTACAAACATAAATCATCATTACTCAACATACAAGCAATATAGATGTTTCTGTTCTTTTTTCTTTTTCGTTCCTTTCATTACAGCAACAGAAACAGAGTGGTGTAAGAGAAGAAAAGAAAGAGATGATACCTGAAAGTCACAAAGCTAATGTTGTCTGATTGCTTTCAAAACCTCTAGCAAATCGAATAAACTAAACCAGAAGGATAAGGGAACAAATTCAAATTAGGGTTTCCAGTGTTTGCTTCTTGCAATGGGCTCTAATTGAAAACTAGAGGAAGGTCATTCATTGGCCCATTTATTCTTAGGTATCTTTAATGGGCTAAGATAAGGTTTTGATTTACGGCCCAATTAAGTATTAGGCCTATAAACATCTCCAAAGCCCAAACTACAGAAGCATTTATCGAGTTTCTCTAAGGAGGCTAATTACCTTATATATATATATATTCATTCTAGCCAGCCTTCTCAATCTATACTGATTAATCAATTTTATTATTTGAAGGAAAATTATATGCATCAATCAATAAGATTAATTATAAGCCATGGATAATATTTATTTAATTAGTAAAATAAAGCAATTTTCTCAGCTCTCGTAGCTAGCTTGCTGAAAAGAAATACCTATGGCTTCATTCTTGGATAATTCAAGGGGAGGTGCTCAAGCAACCCTAGCTAGCTAGGAGTCCTTCAACTCCTTCAGAATTATCCCTGCACTATTTCTCACTCCAAAATCTACAAGAAACACATGCACCTGGACTCTTAGAACCTGACATGATCTGAGCATACATCTCCTTATCGGATAACTTCTTCAATACTGACATGCAACTACCTTTTTGAATATTTTGCACCCTCGTTGGAAACAAAATTATCTCTCCTTGATTAATTCTTTTCTTGGAACGTAAACACACGCATGGTTGTATATTCGTTTATAAAAGTTGCTTAATCACCGTATTTCTTGCAAAAACACGCCGGAAAAGACGTCACGACGAGATCAATTAGCAATATTCTTTTATTATTTCGAAGTGTTTGACAAGTAGCATACCAAGGATGAATCTACAACCACATTAGGGTTTTTATTGTTCTAGAGAGTCTTCACGACAAGTGCATGTCAACCACTCTACCATTAAATCTACGAATTTGTCCTGAAGAGATACAAACATGTTTGGCAACGATGGTGAAGACAGAGACGTAAAAATAAATATATTTTTAAAATAATATTAAAATTAATCTTTATTGAAAAAGGAAGGACATGGAAACATGTTCTTTCTATCTCAACCATCATTACTATTTTATTTTCATTTTTTTTTGTTATAAAACAATAATCAAACATTATTTTACAGTCGGAAGCAACCAAATGGTAATGCTAATTTCCTCCTCCTTTCCTCTCAAACAAACACGAAATCTTTAATTATAATTCACAATAACAAAATGATTTTGAGTTTGGCTTCAAGTGATCCTATTAATTTAGGATGACTCATGTCTTCAAATGAATGTAAGAAGACTCTCTAACGAAAAATCCAATTGTCGGCCAAATAACTAAACATAGAGTTGGACGCTAATTGCATTCACTTTAATATATACAGTGGTTAACCGTTAAATGATCCCAAAAATATTTTATTTCTTAGCCCTTTCTTTTTATTAAATCAAATTAAGATGCATATAGTTTTTGCTTACATAAACTACCATTTGTGGAGACTTTCAGTAGCATTAGAAAATAGAGGAGGGGAGCTGTAATTAATTAGAAGTGGAAAACAAGTAGCCTCGCAATCTTCAATCTACGCCTAGCTGCTACGTTGTGATCTTGCTATCTGGTTATACCGACAGAGATCTAACAAAATATAGTTCATGTTTGATCTTGATTTGCTATATATAATAACAAAATCAAAAGAAATTAACTCCATATGTGAACACAACTCCTTGATCATGGCAAGAAAGTATCTAACCTATTGGTTCTTGGCTCAACAGAATTCACTCAATCCAGCACGAAATGAGTGAAAATTTATTCATGGGAGGAGTATGCCCTAGTAGTAGTATTTTCCAAGTAGGTCTGCAATATAACTTCATGCTAATTAACCTGTCAAGTTAATCATATCTCCCTTGAAAAATGGACTGTTAGGATAATGACTAATGCAAAACCGGCCATGCATGCACAGGAGATGCCAATCCTTAAGCTTCCTCTCGTCTCTTTCTATGGTGTTGCTAGGTTGCCTTTTATCGTTGTATTTTTCACAATGCTGAACAATTCGAGGATCAATCATCAAGCATATGCACCATTCAATCATGATTAATTCTCCTCTTGATCTCCTAATTAGTTCATGAAAAGTTGATTGTTTGTGAGGATTAGGTGGTTCGGAAGCAAGATTGATCAAGACCTTATTGAAATTATATAGTTGAAGTATAGAGTAAGTAAACAAAAGATCGTGATAGGTGTCTGCTGCTAAGATAGATCAATTTCCATAAGACAAAGAGCTCAATAATTCAAAGTTAATCAAGCCCTCTCAATCTTTCCAAAATCATAACTAACCCACCTTTATAATCAGTGAATTACAATATATTATCATAACAAGTCTCCGACAAGCTACACAATAACTCGTAATTAAGGTGAATGGATTGCTTAGGGACTCAATTAGTTATTTAACCTACTTTGTTAGAAAATTTGAGAAATTAATGTCATCGACATAGATATCATGAGGTGCAAGAGTATATTAAACTGATTAAAACTATGAATTTGTTTTTCTTGGTTAAGCCTAAGATTTTATTTAAAGAGAAATTAAGGATTTTAGTAACACTTCTAACACGTGAATGTTGATGAAAAGAACAGTAAACCAAAATATTCCGTCTGAGGAAGGCCAGGCAGTGGCATCTAGATCATTAATTGACAAATAAAGCATGATTTAAAGTAAATATATATGCAGTCATGTATATTTGATTGATTAAGAATAAAGTGTTGATATATAAGATTCAAAATAGTCTGAAACTAGCAAACTTTGCAGGAATTTTCCTGCCTGTATAAGAGGTAATGGCGAGAAAGGTTTTAGTTTCTATATTTTCTAG